GGGGGTGCAAAAATCTGATTTCTTGCTTCACCAAGGCGGTTTTCATTGCCATGTTATCGTTTTGAGAAATACAATTTCCTTGACAGAAGCAGCAATGTAGTCTCCACGTAGACAATCTACGGAATCCTATTTGTTGAGTAATTCAGTAAGCAGAGCTTTATGGCACTTGCAACACAAGTAGGTGATATAAGTACCGAAGACTAGAGGCGTTACTAGACAAAAACATATTATTATTTTTTATTATAGATACCAAAAAAAGAGAACGATGTTATTTGTTTGACAGGAAAGAAGGCTAACCACCCACTGTTCTGAATCCCTTCTTTAGTTTAGTAAGTGTTTCATGGTACTTGCGACACAATACGGTCACATAAGTGCCGAAGATTAGAGGTGTTACAAGACAGAAACAAACACAAAAAAGAAGGAGGGGAGATAAAGACGATAGATGTTTGATAGGAAAGAAGAAGTAAACCACACCAGAGCACCCGCAAACCACCTACAATCCCCTTATAAGAAGAACAGACTTTATTTGTTTCTTTATTTGAGCAAAGAGAAGCACATCGACATAATAATGGCCATTTTATGCTAGGAAAAAATAAGATTGACAGAAACAACAGAGGGGAAAGAAAGAACAGAAGTAAGACCTGGTGGTGCCCTCCAACCACCCGTTCAAACTGTGAAAACACTGTAGAGATCTTTAAGCCACAAACATTAAACAGAACCTGACCGTTTCCATCTTTTCCTGGTACTTCTATGTAGAGACCTACAGTCCCCTTCTCCACGAAGACACCCACTTCTACCACATCCCAACCAGTAATACAGGCTACATTACAGAACAAAGTATATAGAATAATACTGTACTTTGAACCCGGAAAAAGCAGTATATTCAAATATGTAAATTAAATATCCATTCATGAATACACAGATTTGCACACAAGTTTGAGCTTTAGATTTAATACAGAGGGACATTAAAAACAAACAAAAAACAAGACTGCCTACTATATGCACTACCAGTGGATTTTTTTTTTACAGCCCCTCCGATCCATGAATAAAACCTAGCAAGACGTTCCTGACAATAAACAAGCCACATATTTTGACCACAATCTATATAATCAGGAGAGACAAACACGACAAATGACACTTCCAAAAGATAATAGTACAAAAACGTCTATGACACTTTTAAGACATACTAGAATATTCTTCACGGAATGTTGAGTCCTGTGGACAATGTAAATGATACAAAATATAGGACTAATGTACAATAACAATCTCAACATGAACAAAAAAAAACAAACCCAACAACAAAAATACCTAAAACAAATGGCACAGTTGCGAGAATGCTAGGACCAGATAGCTGACTGTTGGTACATTTTGACCCAGCCTTACCCCCCCCCCCCCCCTCCCAAAAATGTTTTTTTTAAAGTACACAAGGAACAAAGAGACATGATGCAAACCATATCATTCTTTGTTCTTGTAAGACTAAGAGCCCTTTTTGTGGTGTACTTTTTTTTTTTAATTGCCATAGAAAGTTTCGAGATCCTTATACCTTTATGTCTTTTTCTTTATACACTTTTTTTTTCAATAAAAAGACACTTACTTGTAAATCTTTTTCATCTGCAGACTCACACATAACTCCCGTACCACTTCTTACAACTCTCTGTCTACACAAAGTTACCCTGACAGCGAAAGTTAAGATATAGGCCCTACTATGGGGGGGCGGGGGGGGGGGGGGGGGGGTGTTGGTTTTTTTGGTTTTTGGTTGTTGTTTTTTTCAATGACGACTAAAATTTTCATGAAGCTGTCTGTTTGTTGACTATGAATCAGATCCTCTTAAATGGCAGTAAATACTGAAGTTCAATTCCTTATCAAATATGTGCTCTTCTTTGTATGAAAGGATCCTCTTATGAAAGTTCCTATAAGAGGCAGAACTGAGGGCGACAGCGCATGAATCGAATGTGGAGACTGTTCTACAGCAGTGAACAGAGAAGACAAACTCTGGTAGCAAAGACTATGTTATAGGTTTAACACCCCTATCAACACTATTAGATAATTTAAGAATCGAAACCTCCAATTTTAAAGTCCATCACTGAAAGAAAGGACCAAGCCAAATAGGAAATTTGTGTTAAGTGCCTTTCCCAAGGACACAATGTTGGACTGAGCTGAGGTTCGAACCCCCTAACACCGGTCAGGTAGTTTAATTACTTGGCCACCAACACCACTGCAAAGACTTATGTCACAGAAACAAGTACCAAGTGTTAGAGAATAATAACGAACTTGTTCCACAAACTAATTTACATAATTATTTTAGTGAATGTTTCAACAAGAGCTGCTTCTCTTTGCTAAAGCTAGGGATCACCAGAGAGGAAATAGTTAGGCCACGGACAAAGCCAAAGTTTAAGCTTTTTTCTTGGCAGCTACTTGAGGACTTTAAAACACTTGTTGTATACCAAACCCATCGTTCTTCCTCCACTATTACGATTATACAAATAGGTGAAAAAAATCTTGCCTTCGTTAGACTCAAATGTATTTACATTGATTTTATTTCATTCTGTATTAAGGTCAAATCAAGAGAAGGCATCAGTCTTAAATTGTCAGCTTTAAATGGACGTGAAGTTGAGAAAACAACAATGGCAAACGCAAACACTTTCACAGTGACAAACATCACAAGGTAACTAATCCCTTGATGAAATATCTAAGCAACTTGAAATTAAAAGAACATTTGAAACTAGTGTAATTCTTAACAATGACAACACTCCTGCAATGAACTTCAAATGATTGCACGTCTTGAGTGTAATTATCTTTAGATTTTTTTATAAACAAAAAGCGAAAATATTAATTGAGGCGATACAGAAATTTGGAGACTAAAGTTTGGAGGAATGCATTTGCCATCCACTTTATATACTGATGTGTAAACATATTTCATTCATAATCCACATAAAGCAACGTTTAAAGCCTGAGACAATATTATCAAAGACAAACAAATATGAAAGATGAATCCAATGTCACAATCTTTTTCAATAAAAGGTTCCTGGCATCAACAAAGGACAGGGTGAAGGAAACGAAATAGTAATATAACAACAAATAAGTACAAGAAGATTAAACATAGGAAAAGATTACATTTTTTTCCAATCAGAATTACAGGTTCAAGCAGCAATGTCTGTTAATGAAGTAGAGAAATACAAGGTGAAATAAGAACATGAAAAAAGAGTCCGGTCTCAAAGCTTGTACACAATGAGATAAACTACATTACATACGAGATTATGAACTTATCTAATTCAGTTGACAAAACATAGATGGACGCAATGATTATACAGTGCTGAGAAGAAAAGAGATAATTCACCAAAAAAAAAAAAAAAAATTTAATATAATATGAACCAAAATAGAAGAGGACCACCACCATAGAGCATCCATCAACAATTTTCATACACAGAAAGACTTTACAAAGCAACGCATCAGCAAAAATGTATGTTGACCATTACACCACATTGGACAAAAATAAAGATCACTGGCTGCAAAACATAATCCTCCTAAATCATTATTCCCATTAATTCTTGTTCCTATGCTCGAACCCCAAAGCAGAGCATATTATTATACTGTCATCACGAGAGAAACTTAAGTAGACAAACAATTTGTAGACTGAACAAAAGTTAAATAACAACTCTCTCATTCAACACATTAGATACACACCTCGCATTACATCAGAAATACATGGTCCAAGCAAGATGTTTCAGCAACAGTGCAATACAATACTACTAAAGAAAGTTGTATTGAAAATAGTGTGTGTGTGTGTGAGTGAGAGTGTGTGTGTGGGGGGGGGGAGGGGGGAGGGGGGAGGGGGGGAGGGGGGGGAGTGGTTAAAATTAATGAAGCGGCAAGAAAGTCTGTCCTGTACACCTGGCCTCTATGAAAACGTCAAACATTAAACAAGTGTCATGATATGTGCATAGTGTTACTGTTCTTTAACTCGTTAGTATGTTGCTGTTAGTACAATGGCACCTTTTGCCTCGCATTGTATTTCTGGGGCTATTATTATATTAGTGCCTTTCTGCATAAAAACTGAGAATAAATCTTGTACAGAATGTAAGCACTGTAACAATTATGTTCGCTCTTTGGTGATAATCCAGAGAATGACCCTGTAAATACCTGTGCAAGTCTCAAACAAAGTGTTCTCGCTTTTGTATCTACCCACTGCGACTTTAAGTAACAAAACAAACACCCTGAGCTTTCAGCTAGCTTGTTCATACAAATGCCCCAAGAGGCATTGTCCTTGCTATATGAAAAGTTTTTCCAGTTCCAGCAAAAAAGTGGTAGATCTAGATACCCTTTTACATACTTTTCCGAAATAAACAATTCCGTGACATATTCCACATTACGTAAGAATTCTGCCGATGATAATTTTGGTTTTTTTTTAAAAAGAGTGCACTACTGTTAAGATATTTAGGGGACAGTATTAAAGACTTGAAAACTCAATCCTTTCCATTTTCAAAGTAGTTGGCTGTCCATTTCACGTTTCAAATTTTCAGCATACAGATGGATGGCGTAGGAATCCTCAAATTTTCCATGAAGATCATTAAATATCTCACAATTTTGCACATTATATTTTCAAATAAATAATGATATAGACATAAATGTAATGCATGTGCAAAGTACAACATCATTTTCTGTACTGTAATAATCGTAAGAAAAACAGGAAGACACTACAAACAACGTTCAGTAACGAACAATTTTTTCTGCAATCTTTACATTGTTAACGGGAACGGTCACAGAAATTAACAGATGCTCATCAATTCTTCACCTACAGATTTTATTTCATTGCCAACAGCAATTCTAACTAAATGTTAAAATCACACCTAAGGTGAATGTTAATATGACAAAGTTTTTCAGGCTACTCATGAAGATCAAACCATTCATATATATATATATGCATACTGCACAGCAAGAAAAGGAATAAGAATGTACTTGTGCTGATAGCCAAGCGCTTGGTGGAGATTTTAATCAGGGAAGAGAAGAAACTGATAACGCGGTAGCTGAAGGCACTGTGATGGGTGTAGCTTGCTGTTCATTATACATATAAATATAATCCCAAGGCGTGGTGCAGTGCATGTGTGTTCAGATAGGCACATTAAAAAACACGTCAGGATCCCTTCTTCTCTCTCAGGCTCACCACCAGAAAGTACTTATAGGGGGTGCCCATTGGCACGATCGGGTCGGGTTGTTTTCTGGTGGTTTCAGTGCACACTACAACGCCGCCGCGATTGTACCCAACAACATGGAAGTTAAAGTAGAGAAACTTTTAACCTCAATGACTTCCAAGGCTCCTTTCCACAGTTCCCTGTTACAGTGCTGCGGCAGCCTGGAATCTCATAAACAAGGGTTAGATCTACATCGATAGCTTTCTATTATCAAGGATCGTTCATAACAAGATAGTTCACTCGGCCAAAAAAGTGTCCTCGCTTAGGAAGTCCGAGCATTGGTTCAGATGGCGCTGCAGTTTTTGTTTTGAAGCTCTCCTTCATTTCTCCAGAAGAAGAATAGCAGTTTGATAGTTTTGCTTTTATTGTTTTTCACACAAGTAGGGTAACTCTGTTCCCAAAGTCCGCACTTTTTCGAAGAGGGTGCCACATGTGACTCAGCCTTGTGATTGGCAGCAAACCACCCAATCGCGAGACTCACAGGCCCAAATAAAAAACGCATCTGTTTTTGCAGGTCACCGACTGAGTCAATCGGTTTGTGCCACGATGGCCGCTTTGTTTCCTCACTTTGGCTAGCCCCGACTGTCAAATCGACCCGACCCGACATGACTAGTGGGCACCCCTAACTGGCAGATCTCACTTTCCCGTCACAATCTTCTCACTGCGGTTTGAGTCGCAGGACATAACCACAGGCTAACACATAGGCTGAATCGAGTATGAACTGGTGCAGAGAGACACATCAACATAATAATGGCCATTTAGTGCAGGGGAAAAGTAAGATAGACATACAGAAAAATAAAACAGGAAAGAAAAGGAGTAGGGCTACAACTAGTGCTGTATCCTCCAACCATCCGCTAACACACAGGCAAGAAAAAGACTGCTGGTGAGACTACTAACCATAGAAACAAAAACAAAAAATCTTAATCAAGAGCAACTATAATATAATTCAATACCTGCTACAAAGTGAGAAAATTTATTAAATTTCAATAAAACAAATGAATATTTCTCCACAAACTGTAACCTCAGGTCCAGCAATCTGTTGACAAGTCTCTGCTACCTATAAAAGTTGTGGAATGTACACATGGAGCCTTAAATAATGTCCTTTTCTGATTTTTTAAATAACCAACTTCAGGAAATGATGGGAGTTTGAATAAAATCAAGCACCTGACACAAACATGAGACAAGTGTCTGATTATAAGAATAATACAAAGAGGAACTATTTTCACTTCATCACAAAGAGATCAAACACAAGGACTAAATAACAGCAAGTACAGTTACCAAACCTGCATGGCACACAAAAATCTAACAATCTCAGAAGAACCACACGCTTTCCTTAAGTTTTAAGAGGAACAAAAAGAATTTTTATAAAGAAATCTGACTTTTGTATTAGAAAATTTTGCACAGGATTGCAGACCAAATAACAGCAAAACTAAGAACTTAAGAGCAATGTTTATGTTTTTATTCTTTCCAAAAACTTTTAGGAGATCTACAATTCCATAAAAATCCAACCAATGCCGATTCCTATAGGTGACCAGCTTGTACTATGGCACAATGAGAGCCAGCAGCAATAATCTCATGTGGAATGCAAAAATCAAACGCTGATGGTTCAGATTTTCCAACAGCCCCCACACCGATGCCTCCAAGTAGTTGCCAATCCAAAGCGTTTGCAAATTGGCTTAGTGCCACATTATAGAAAGTTTTTGTTTTAGTAATTTTACGGTGCTCGCAACTGCATAAGGTCATATGAGCGCCAACATTATAGAAGGAGGTTTGAGTAATTTAATCACTTGTCTGTATATTGCAGTGTAAGGCATTGCCCAAGGCATACAAGGGGTTGGGAAAACTGCTGACAGTGGTCATGAAGATTCCTCAACACCATAAAAATAAAACTTTGCTGGAACAAATACAATACACAGGGTATTCTCAGACACAATATACAAGTAAAATTATTCATTTTCAGGAAGTCATCAATGGAGCATAGCAGTGACACGCCAGAGACTCCAACGAATGGATTCTGTGCCTAATAGGAGTTTTCTTGACATCAGTGTTGTGACTGGCCACTGTCATTGGAATTCTGAAAAGGCTAAATCACTGGCCTTCCCCTCAACAAGAAGACAGCTGAAACAATTCAGTGACAAGATGGCTATCACTTGAGCGGCATCAACATCCCTTCTGGTAGTGCGATAGCTCAGTCAAGACCTCAAGAGAGGTTTTTAAATGGCGTTATGACTAAGAGCAACCTTTAAAATAGACACCCTGGATTGCAAGCCAAGGTGCCAAGAATCTGTGATAAAAATATCACCAAGGAGCCAGTGTGTACTAGCCAATCATAGTACAGACAGGCCCTAGCCCTCTACAAAGCCATGCCCTGGACTTCATAAAACCCCAAGTGTTTAAAAACCCTGAATTTCGGATCAGGCAGAACAGGAGCCACTTCTTCTTCTTCTCATTCATCTCTGAATGGACATTCCTGTCTCTGGTACAAAGGCTGCTGTTCGCCGCAGGTCCTCCAGTCGGTTGTGCCCTGTTCTAAGTCTGAACAGATCAACCTGCTAACCTCATGGTCTCAACACCAGTCCACTCTGGCACTCATCCAAGGCTGACACTAACAGAAAAACAGCCATCCGAAAACCAAAGGCACATAAATGAATACCTTGTGTCTCAAGACCATCCTCACAAAAACAAGAAAGCAAGTACACACATTATTCGCATTCACCCTGCGTAACATGTGATTGTAAAAAGGGAGTCAACTTCTACAAGACCTACAACCTGAAATGGTCTGGAAAAAAAGCCATAATTTCAACAGGATTTTCCCCTGAATGATAAAATAATTTCACGCTACAGGGAAAGCTCTTAAATTATTTCTCCTCGTTAACATTTTTCAAGATCATGGAAAGGATTCAATGTTAAGTGTGAACAGAACATGCCAACACATTTGCATAGAATTGAGCAGCCACCTTTAACCACAAAACAACAAGTAAACATGTTCTACATCCCTCCCATCTTCTCCCATTTCGAGTCACAAGTTTCCATTTACAAACAAAACACTTTAGACAACGGAATGTGACAAACTTTCTATTCCTACCTCTCTGCTCAACAAAACACATTTCCCCCTTTTAAATCCATCAAAGCATTTTTAAAATACTTCCTCCAACATTCCTTTCAACCAGTGCAACTAAATACATAATTATTCTTCAACTTTCAATAAAAGATATTGTGACGGAACCTAGAAACGCAAGAAATTAGACAGGTAATACTTGAACCTGTCTTGTGCAGTAGTAAAATATAAAATAACAGTAATAAAACTCCATTTGCATATGCACTATTCAAGAAATTCAGCCATAAAATATACAATCTTTGCAAGAGTGAAGCAATAAAGTGTACAGTGTATGAAAAGCTTCTCCAGACGTTGATGACATTTAAAGTGACATCTTTAATTAAACCCTTGCAACTACTACATGTAAGGATAAGACTACTCCATTATAACAATGTTTTGACTTTCTCTGTCATCATTCAATACTATAAGAATGACAAAAATTGATTCTCCCCATAATTCTTATTAAAAGTATGTGTTGATCACCATTAGTTCAAACACAGGGTATCTGAGTTCAAACTTCCACCTAGTTGCAGATGAAGTAGCTGTTCTGCAGCCCTTGGGAGAAAGATTTGATTGCAAAACAATGATGCTCTTCTTACTTTAAGGCTAACATATTCAATTCTACCACTTCAGAGAATTCAAGCAACACACTCAGTTGTTCAGCATTCCTGCTGACTTGATACATTTAAGTGAGGGGCACATCATTTTGAGAGTGCATAGACTTGGCAACATCTCAAAATGAGACTTAATTTAACAATAACCCTCATTTTCTTAATTATGATTATAATAAATCCAAAATATTTCTATCGATTGCATTGGCTGAGATATTTCAAGGTTAGGGATCACTAAAAACCAAACACAAATTTTGTGTGCCAATATAAGGTAAACCTATTTTTCCGTTAAATACCTCACCTTCATTCACTAAAGGCCAAATTATTTCATAAAATCCAACCCTGCAATAGTTTGTGCACGTAAATTATTCATTTTGATACAAAAACAAAAATAATCATGATGCTTTGACCCAAACTTTCTTTCTCAGCTGGTTTCTTCTAGTTATGCTCAGTGAATTAAGCCTCATTTGGAGCTGTTGCCGTGGGAGCATTACTAACAGTCACAAACCATGTACTTGCAATCAAATTTTTAAAAAGCAAACACATGATTCCAAACAAACAGTCACCATATACAAACAATAGTTAATGAATGACAAACTAGGTGAGACAGGATGATCATTTTCCCATCGCGTTCCGTGCCGCGGAAATTAGTGGACGCAATGTAGCGAGTGGCATAGATTTCTCCAGGAGAGGGTGTTGGAGCAAAGTGGTGGCACAGGCTCGTTCTTCCACGTCAACCTCTAGACACTTGTCGATGAAGTCTTTCAGCTCCGGGGACAATTTGTGCTCATCCTTAATCTCAGGCTAAGCAGGTGGAGAGAGAAGAAAAACAATGTCAAGCACCTTCAACAAATGAGGAAAAAATAACACATTGATGGCTTATACATGTAATCAAAGCAATCTTTTTTCCTCTTTCCACTCCTTGATAAGTCAAATTTTTTTCAGTAGAAAAGATGTGACAAACTGGTCTTTCCTTCCAATGTCAGTGACCACTTTCCATAAGACAATGCCATTAGCTAATGTTCTGCATCTGTGCCAAGATGCGAGACTTATCAGTAACTTCTTACGTCGGACGTTTCCGGTGAGGCACCGAGGTCATTGTACTGTTAGTGAACAGCGAGCGGCACTGGAAACGAGTGTGTTTTTGCCATGAATACCATGGGGGTGTGTTAATCGAAGATGAAAATAACACTCTTATCTTTTACAGCTTTATATTTATAAAGTGTTGTGAACACAAGAATAACCCCCTCTCATAAGCTGATAAGACATTACGAGTAGTTACGCCCATTCGAATAACCTTTTTAAACGCTCTTGTTGTTAAGAATGAACTGGGATTCGAAAGGGAATAATATAAGTCAATTTCCTTATGTTTTGCCCTCAAATTGTTCTTTTTATCCGCACAATGGTATTCAAAACTCATCAAATAAGCTTATAAGCTTATTTTTATCAGGTAATATCATTTTATATAAAAATTAAGCTCATTTGAAAGATTTCGTATTAAAAAATGGAAGTCATGTTTCCTGGCTATTCTTTCGAGCTCATAATGTCTTAGTGGGTCATTTTGTTCTAATTTCATTGAATGAATATCTAGAGCTACCAACTTGAAGTGTTTTGAATGAGACGTGTGCCTCGGTTACGAACCAACGCAGGCAGTTCTAAAAGTAGGCTACAAACGCACACAAACTCAATCAGACTGACGCACACATACTTGAGCTGCCAGATGCGGGATCCGGTCATCACCTGATTCAGGAACGGACGGAAGGCGAGGTGCCGAAATACGCTTATATAACGGGAAACATAAACCTGGCTCCAACAGGACGAGGGTTAAAAACAAAGCAGAAAAACTAGTATCCGTCCCATTCGACACAACTCATGTTCGATATCCGATCAAATTTGATGGAAACTTGAAACAATGCAAATACACCTGAACACATTCTACTCAAGGAAAATAAGTAAGGAGAAGTTTTCAGCCAACACCAAGTACAAACAGACTACTAACAATAAAATCTGCTCGTACATTGTCAGACCTCTGGCAGTAACCTACCTTTCCTTTGGTGGCAATGCGGTAGATGGCTTTAAGAGCTGTCTCATGCAGGTATGGAGGTTCCCCTTCCAACATCTCGATGATCATAATGCCCAGACTCCAGATGTCAACTTTGTTTCCGTACTGCTTTCTGCAATGAAGCAAATAAAATACAGTTGAACCTGCCTTAGTGGTAAGCTCTTTATGGTGTTCACCTGCACTAATGACCACTGTTCTGGGACACCCTTGCTTTTTCCTATATTTTTAATTTGCTCTAATCGGACCCTGTCAGTCAGTCATTTTCGTGACTGGTTAGCCTCAAAACCTTCTCATAGCCGCTACTAGCTACAAAAAAGATTCTCGATAACCTGTCCTTAGACTGAGTGTGTACATTCAGTCAAAGTAAAGACGCTCTTGCGACAGATAAACATTATAATGGAAAAGAAATGGTAAGATACCATTAAGATTTTGGATTTTAAACCATCTGTTGACTTTGTCAAGTCTAGCAAGTGACCATAACTCAGATCCTGTCTAAATAGGTCACTTCACTTTGTGATTTGGAATGACTTTTATGTAGAGGTTTGACTGTTTACAATTATTCAAAATGCTTCTGTAAGTTTTTTTAGTTTAAGTAGAGATTTTTTGGCGCTTGCAACTGCATAAGGTCATATGAGCGCCCTTTTGTTAAGTTTTAAATGACAACTATTAAGTACTCATCTGTAATGAAATAATTAGGCACAGGCCATGCGACAAAGGAAGTCACTAGATCTGCATCATATTTGGTCACCGCATTGTAGCTCACTTTCACCAGGACCAAATTGCCCAGGAACATATCAGTGAAACTTTTAAGTCCGACTAGTTCACTCGCTACTAGAATATCTGCAACAGGCTCCACAAAGTCCCCTGCCCATAACAGGACAAGCTACTACTTCTGCACAGGGCCACAGGTGAGCCTGTGATGTGCTCGGGGACAGTGTCATTACAATACAGAAAAAAAAATGTAAATAAGTGGGAAGAGGTGGTTATCTACAACCTGTGATGATTATGGCATGTTCGGCTATCTACACTCAGTTACATTATAATTAACAAATATAAATATATCTGCTCGGAGCTCTCGTGGTCTAGAGATTACAATGTTCACCTCTCATTCAATAGGCCCTGGGTTCGAAACCTGACAGCCACTTCTCTAAAAATGTTCTACTTTCACCTCCTTTCCTCCACTCTTACCATGTTCTGTAGTCTACTTTGGCCTCCGCTTTCTGCACCCCCTTCCTCCCCATTTCCCCCTCCCCTGGTCTCCTGAGTCTCTGCAGCCTTTCTACTGCTACTCCTTGGCTTCTTCTTTCTGCTGACTTTCAGCCACACCCTTGATCTTATGGTAGGTAAGATATAAGTCCTAGCCTTCTCGGATAACGGCAAAACATTTCGAAGATCCTGTGCGCAAGTTACGCACATTCAAGACCCCTTGGTGGTCCTAAAATCAAAAAGAGTAGGCTTCAGCCGCCACCAGTGCAAAATTCAAAATTTCTGCCAAACTGAAAATTTTTAATGTGTCCCAGGCACTCACATGACCTTATGCAGTTGCGAGCGTTGTAAAACACTTACCAAAACAAAAAATATATACCCCATACTTCAAACAGATAAGAACACATCAAGCCTGTGCAATATTTACCTGGACACAACTTCTGGAGCCATCCAGTATGGCGTGCCCACCATTGTGTCTCTTTTCCCTTTCTCCGCATTGAGCTGGGCGCAGAAGCCGAAGTCTGTGACCTTCACCGCACCGACCATACCTAGCAGCACGTTGTCACTCTTGATGTCCCGGTGGATGATGTTTCGATTGTGGAGAAACTCCAAGGCTTTGAGACACTCCCGGCAAACAGCAGCAATCTGACCTTCCTTCATAATGGTTTCTGTCACAACATCTGTCAGTGGGCCACCGTCGAGGAACTAGTGAAAAAACAGATTACAATTTCTTCCTTCCATAATTACATTTGTTTTCAAAAACAAAAATTTCAGACTTTAAGAAGAAAACTTGTCATAACAGAATTGCAAAGAATAGCAATAATGGCAAGAAAAAAACACCTCTATGCCACAAAATAAAATACTGGCATGAAATATTTAAATAGACATAATCTATTCCAGATAAAGAATTCACAATTAATCCAAACCTCAAAAAATTTGTGTGTCCATAGGACATGTCATAAACTTCTACAATACGTGTTGTGTCGGCTGTCTGTTGTTCTTTGTTTGTGCGCCTGGCTTTCTGGTACCGTTCCCTCAGGTACCATAAACTTTATGACCCCTACTTAAGACAATCAAGTAAGATAGGAGAGTTGCATAGGGTGGAGGCCAAGGCTTTGAGTTTGAGTGAGTTATAGCGTAGACGCGGGGTAGGAAGGAAGTAGAAACTTTTGTGTGTGCTTTATTAGAGTGAATAAACTCCAATTCTTGAACTCTGTGTTTGTTTTAATTTATCTCCGAGGGGGGTAAACCCACTACGCCGGGGCCCATTTTTGGAGCTAAATTTTAAAATGATAAAAACGTCATTAAATGTGTCATTAAATAGAAACCTATTTTGATAGCACTTCATATAATGAATGAACTTCCGGTATAAGAGACCTGTTTTCGGCAATTGCCAAAAAGTAATTCAATGTCGAAATCGTCGTAAAGGAATGTGCCCGAGCCGGCTCATGCACAGTGGCTCCTACCGTGAGCCACTGAGAGCGGCTTGCCGGAGATAAAGAGTTAAAGAACCCACACAAGGACACTACACTACTCACCTCCATGACAACCCAGAGCTCGTCCTCCAGATAGTAGCAGTCGAGGAAGTTGACAATGTTCTCGTGCCTGTATTGCTTCATCACCTCAATCTCTGTGATGATCAACTCCTTTTTGGGTTGCTGGTTCAAATCCATCATTTTGATGGCAACCACCTCCTCTGATTCTTTACACTTGGCCATACACACCAGGCCTGACGCTCTGTAATGGAAAGTAAATAAGCAGGATGTGAAAAGACAATTCATAGGCACACATTCGCACAAACATACACACATACACACACCACACTGCCCTCCTCATCCATATCTTCTTTCCACCTACATGTCCAACCCCGTTGTCATATCTTGCCAGAGACCCATCCAGTGAGTTAACTTTAATTTGTTGTCTTTTCTGTGGCCTTTATGAAATAAATTTACTGTAAGGGTAAATGTCAACAGAAAGTCACATCATGTATTACTCCTGATAGTGAATCTACAAATTCAAAAGAAAAATAAGAGATATAAAATATTAGCACCAATTTGGATCTATTTCCTAAGTGAAGCTTAGTGGAGCTGGTAGCCTAGAGGTTAGGCTCTCAGACTCGCAACCATAAGTTCATGGGTTCAAATCCTGTCAGGGAGCCAACTTCGTGTCCTCGAGAAAGGCATTTTACACAAAATTTCCTCATTTCAACCAGGTAGGAATGGATAACTACTTACAGAAAGCGAAAGCTGACAATATTTCTTACTGTTCTTGGGTCTGCAGAGGTACTAATGGTTGTAAAGCGCATAGAGCATGTTGAAGAGAATGGATATGTGCTATAGTAATGCAATTATTATTATAATAATAATAATTATTATTATTATTATTGTTGTTATTGGATCTAGACAGGAACAACCCAACATTCCAACTTCATACAGCACTGCAAAACAAATCATTAAAAGCAACAGCAAACAAGATTGGAAGAATAGATGGCTCTGATGGGCCTTGGGAAAGGCAGAGCAGTTTTCAAACATGCGACTACAACAAAACAAAATGACAATATCAACCACCTACAGAGAAAGAAACAGACCACGATCTTTCGCCTACGAACGGAACATATACAGCTCAACTTTCACTTGAACAGAATAAAACCAGAACTTCCCCCAATGTGTCCTTTGTGTGACTATGCATATGAGACAGTGGAACATCACCTTTTCCACTGTACAGCCCTAAATAACATCTGAGCTACACTTCTCCCTCCAAGACCTAACTTTGACAACACACTCTACGGAACATTATAGCAACTGCAGCAAACCTGCACTTATCACTACATAGCATTGGACAGAAGGGCGAGAGCCCAGATGTTGCTGGATCGATAACAACAACAACAACAACATTATTATTATTATTATAGTTTCGATATACCCACCCATTCTCAAGTACTGTACTTACCCCTGTCCAAGTTTCTTCTGGACATCATACTTGTCCTGTGGGTTCCCCGGACTTGCTGTCTTTTCTGAAAAACAAGAAAAAAACAAACATTAGTAAAGTTGAGTATTCCAAGGTATTCACAGAAGGCAAAGGTTTGCTAGATCACAATCTCTTGGTCAGCCGAAGACACATATAAGCAAACCTGTCCTCAATGACCATCACATCACAAATTTATTCCCTTTTGAAGAACAGAACAGCTTCAGGGACAAGGAAAGTTTTTCAAACACACAACAGCAAAGTCAGTACCAACTCAATAGCTTTTTAGTTGATGTTGTGTTTATCCAGTAGCCTTTGAATGAGTGTCATTCGGCCCAATGCCATGTTATAAAAAGGTGCAAGTCTTTGGCTTTGTTCTTTACTACAGTATTGGGTTGTTTTTGTCTACGGCAAGGGCGGAGGAGGAAGAACAACGTTTAAGTAATTATACACAACAATGCCTACCTCAAATTTCCAGAGGCACATACAGATCCTTTGCTACGGAATATCAATAGACCTACAACATTGTAATTTTTTTTTATGCATTGAGTTAAAAGATACAAGATGAGACGGCAAGTACAGATTTCACAAATACAAGGAAGATTGAAAGCACTGCAGAATAGGCCTTTTTCTTTGCTTTCAGTCTAGGTGCCTATCGAAAATTCGGTTGTTTGGACACCTTTATCGGTATGGCAGTAGATCAAGTCCAAAACCGTTAACTACCGGAAATATCAGTATAAATAGGCAGCCCTGAATATATGTGTAAGACAGTTCAGCACTTTTTAAAGTCAACTCAAATGCACGAGTTTTAAAAAATATGCCACACTCACAACATCTATCACTGTGAGTCGCCAGATGATGACATATTCTGTATTTTGAAATTCCTTCAAAGCAACAGAGTTACTCACTGAGTGCTTCGTTGACCTCCTTATCTGTCATTGTTTTCTTTTGAGACCTTGGTCTTCTTGTGAGAACTTCCCCATCTGCTTCATCTCCAGTTGACATACTGGCCATGCCATCAGACACTTCGTCAGCGGCTGCACCATCTTTTGCCGGCTCTGCTTTTGGACTCTTTGGTTTGGGAGACACAGGCTGTGGCAAGCAAGACATAAGAACCATAGGTCATACATTTTTCCGGGAAAAAAACATCTCAAATTTTTCTTTCAAAGAGGACTTGTCAGTAGTTGTGCGCTTTGTGACTGACTGCATCTGAAATGGGCAAGCATTTTCAAGTCATACATTCTTTCATACTTGTTTGGAAACATTGCTGCATATTTAACATCCTTAAGGGACCTCAACTCAATCATATGTATATATATATATATATAAAAGCTGATATTTTAAGATCCAAGATGAATTTACTACCTTCAATCCACAATACATCATCAAAGTGAAAACTTCCAAGACATAAATAAACAGGCCTAGAACATGGTTGAAAGTAACTTTTCAGCTTCGTTTTCCCCAACTAATACCTTTAAAGATATATATCCACAAGACATAACACATCAGTTCTCCCAATAAACAGAAGACTCACCGGTAGAGATATCGCTTCGTCTTTCTTCTCTGTTGTCTCAACTTCGGGACTAGTTGGGGTTTCTTGACTTTTCTCTGAACCATATGATGATCTTTCATCTGAATCTAAGAGTTCATCAGATTCTCGAATTGTTGTAGCAACAACCATAAACTTTGCAGTAGAGGACCTCCGTTTGATGGAGCGGGTGTAGGTCTTCAAGGAGTTTACCACAGCCTCTGGGTTCTCCTCCTGCTCCCTCTGACTGTAGCAGAGAACATTCTCAGGTCACATTTAACACTACTGAATTTGGTTTATACATGAATACATACATACTTATATATATATACTTATACTGCAACATGCAAAAAGTTGCTTCACACTTCGTCACAACCATTGAACCACATGAAAACAAAAGTGTGCCCATTCTGGATCATGGGTTGTTGATAAGAAAGAAAAAAATGTGAAAAACAGGAAAACAGTACATCTGTAACGATATTCACTATGCAAAAGAAAAAAACTCTGCTCAGCATCCTATCCAAAACATCCAGAACACAAAAGATCCATGGAGATGTGAAGATGACATGATGATGTAAAAGTTAAACAGGTTGGCATGCACCTAAGGACGTCACTTAATGGGAAAAATCTCTTGGAAAACATCGATCAATTTCAAGAATTTTCAATTTCAAATGGCATCATGACATAATACTGACTTTTTTTAAATTCAAATTTTGAGCACTTTATGATGTGTATGGAATGTTACTGAGGCTGATAACTCACGTGATGTTGGATGTGCTGAGGATGTTTTGCCATGAGTCAGGGAGGCCAACGAAAGAACCTTTCTCTTTATCAAAGCCAACATGGAAGTTCTGCTTGAAGTTGAACGGCTGCCCTATAGACATGGTGACCTCATCTTCCCCTGACTTGGTGGAACTTGTAGAGTTTTTCGGTTTGCGAAAAAAACCTTTGAGAGGCATTGTGGCAATCAGATCTGATGGTCCTTTCAACAAGCTTGAACCCTGGGAACATAACACATAATTTCCTCAAGTTTGAATTTAATTGGAGAACTACACATATGCACTATAATCTACATCAGTGATCAGTAACCTTTGGCCTTTAGGCCAGTTACATTATTTAATTCATTGTAAAAAGTCGCTCCCTGGCTGGTTTTGAACAGAGGTCAATGTACACATTAGGTGAAAAGGAAGCCTATAATTTCTTTTAGTGCCAGTCAATTTTAAATTAAAACAAACTACTACTAAACAAGTTATAACTGTTGCTAATGACCATGGTTATATTCTAACAAAATCAAGGTCAATTACATATAATATAATACAGTAGTCTCCACCTAAGATCTCCCCACTTACATTGTACTTACAATCCCCGTTCGCTTAAAAGACCCCCGCTGTTTTAAGAAAATTAAATTTTTACTAAACAAAATTCACCCCTAAGACCCCACTCTCATTCTCAATCTCTTTGATGATCTATATTCGGATAATACGACATTCAGATCATAATTTATGGAACAATAACCCGGGTGGGCACAGCCGATCTACCAAGAATAAAAGGTTGAGATCATCGAACTACCCACTGCATCACAGATCAGCCATTACTCTTGTGAATGTGTTCACATAATATGAGCGTTGTAAAACTCAATGAAACGGTACAATATTACTGCTAGCTGTGATCGTCTGTTGATCTTTCAGTTTTACACTTGGGTTGACTTTAAAAATTTGTTTTTATTGTGTTTTAGTGCTTTTAAAAGATTAATTAACCTTCCTCTAGATCTCTCAAAGCGGACTCCTTACCATGAGGCCAGCGAGGCGGTCTATGTGCATGTGTGTGTATGTGTGTTGGTGTGTTTGTAAGTGTGTGTATGTGCGTGTTTGCATGTGTGTGTCTGTGTGTGTGTGTGTGTGTGTGTTTGTGTGTGTGGGTGTGTGTTTGTGTGTGCTCGCTCTCGTGTGTTTATGGTGCTATTGCAAACGTATAATTAGGTAGCGAAACACGTCACATAAGCCTATTCACGGCCTTCCAGGTGCGTGGTTTCAGTAGAATGGGGGTAATTCAGATCTCTGTTTCTTTGCTCTTTTGCTATAAAATACCAAATGCTGAACACTTTGAAAAAGTTCAGATGTCCTTTTTACAATAGTGTAAGTTGTTTGTATATTATAATCCTAGTATGAGCTGAAGAATCGCCGTGGCAAGGGAAGCCCCTCGCGGTGGAATGCGAAGTGGGCCGGTTCAAAATTGACACCCATGCATTCAAATGCTTTGAAGAAAGATTGATGATTAAATACCATCTTTTCATTAGCGGAGAACTATACAGCTTTGAGTGTGGTTTCCCGTGGTTATTTTTGGCCTTTGGCGTTTGGATAAAAAAAAAGCTTCTAAGTTTACAAAGATCATTTTAAACACGAAACGTGTAAAATACCGTCTAAAAAGGTATCAATAGAAAGAATTGTTATTTTTCTATTAGAATGAAGTCATCGGCTAGGAATTATTTAAAATGAATCCTTCCGCAAAACTACCGGGAGCACTCAGTACAGTACAGTACTGAGCCGTCTCGCTCGCTGCAAGGGCAAGAGCGACGCTGGCAGAGACAACTCTCGGTGTTTTAATTAAAATAACGACAGATCATTGTGTTTGAGGCAATAAAATACTGATTTTTAATGATCTCACGGTCATGAAAAAAATTAGGCTTCATTTCATTGTTATAATGATTGTACTCTGTTAATGTGAGATGTTTGATGCAGTTGGTACTCTTTTATTATCAGTCAAACATGGGGTTGCAGCCAGTTACCGATTTCAGCAATATTTGATTATTAATCTCTCTCTCTCTCTCTCTCTCTCTCTCTCTCTCTCTCTCTCTCTCTCTCTCTCTCTCTCTCCTCTTCCTCCTCATTTCTCTCTCAGATGCAGCTGAAATTATTTTTTAAATTCACATGTTATTGTAGAACAGATTAGTCTTTAGGGATATCGCTTGTTGTCCCTGGATGTGTTTGCATTTCACCAATGTGATCTTCTACTTCAATGCCTCTGTGTTCCAGATTTTTCAGTAGCTACCTCTGTATACTCCCTTTCTCGAGGATGATCTTTTAAACCCCTCATCAAACGTCAACTTGAAGGATCTGTTTCGATCAGGCGTATACCTAAGACAACAAATGTCCACAACATGTGGGTCACCTCTTTCACTTTTGATTGATCATCGTTTGGAATAATCCTTGAAAAATGTGTGATCAAGGTATTGACCTCAAAGACTCTGGGGTTGCGCCTGGCTTTGCCCATAAGGCTAATGTAATTCGCTGACAGGAAGATAGGGTTAGGAACACCTTTTGATGCTTGTTCTATCTTACTATAGTAGGAATCAAAGTCCATGTGAGTGTGTCCTTTGACTAGATACTTATGTTCCATTGTCTGACAGTAGATGGCAGATGCCTGAAGTGAAGGAGCAAGAAGCACAGATTCCAAGTTCATACAGATGGCAACAGTCCTGACTCCGTCAGCTGAACCTTCAAGAGACAGTTTGTAGTCCAACTCTTTCTTAAAAAAAAGCTCTTTCCTTCAGCCTCATGTGCTGTTCCCATGTCTCTTCGTCCATGTTTCCAACCCTGTGGGATTCACATACATCACACAGGCCCTTTTGGAGATGATTCAAAACCAAACTGTTGTTATGAAACTACTTTTTGAACGCTGTTAGTCCCAGACCCTTGCGGCCCAGTTTCTCACACCTTTTCAAGTACCGGTACTCCACAAGAGAACAAAATTGGGGCCCCTGATAACACTTTGCCGAGGTTCTTCAACAACAGTAAGACGGAATTTCGGTAATATTCCAAAGAATTCATCTACAAAGCACTTTCTCATCACTTCAAACAGGAGGGTGAATCTGCCTTTGGCAGTTCTGAATCTGACCCTAAAGAATCAGTGGAATTTCGAATCATCCAGTCCCCTAAAGCTAGGATAATGGTAAACATTCTCATGCTATCACAACTCTTACTCCACCTTCCTTTATGAAGTACTGATATGAACAAGGAAGAGAGACCCTTTGATTTGGATGCTTCTGAAGTTTTTCATTTCCTCATCACATCAGCCCTGTCAACTATACAGTTGACGTACGCTTTTTTAACTCTTCTACGACAGTGACCACACATAGTCAAAGGTCACTGTTCTGTCTTTGTCTGAACGACAATTGCACCCCAACCCTTTGCAGGTACGGTTGCAAGGTTCCAGAAGTTGGCGTGAAAGTCATTGGGGACCCTTGGCAGAGACATAACTTTGCCCCGACTCCCTGAGAAATATTTGCTTCTTTGCCAATTTTTAACACCTTTTTTCCCTGGTTTTGGGGTCAGGACAGATAATTCTTCATTGGCAAGAACAACTTCTGCAGTTGGCGCGTGCAGTTAGGAGACTGTTGTCAGTACCCTGATGCCTGCTGCACAGATGACCGTGCCAACAACTGATACTGATGGGTCGTTGGCTGATTCCATAGTGCCAAAGTCTGACAAAAGAATGGCAGTGTCACTAAATGATGCTGAGGGGATGTCGCTGTGTCACGTGGTGGTGCAAAGGAAATGTAGTGTCAACAACTGGATTTAACGTCAGTTGTAACATCAGCATGATCAACAGAAACTACAGTGATGTCACACTGCAACATAGCATCAAGAGAACTTGTTGGAAACGAAAGGGCAGGACAAGAAGCCAGTGCCTGGAGCTCTCCAGTAGTGGTAGAAGTTGGTTGAGTTGGGTCAAACGTGGTCACTGGCGATTTTTTTCGGGGCGTTGAAAAGTAACCAATGGAAAACCCGACTTGCCAAAGCATGGCACAGAAATATCTAATTCTGGTGTCTCTCGTGCAAGAAAACAATGTCCACTATGTCTTCAATGGCACTTCTTGATATTTCAGCGGAAATGATTTGGGGGAAGATTTCCCGCATTGATGATGAGCACATTTGTCAGATTTCGAAAGTGACAGCAGGACTAAACGTTGGCCCCAGCTGACGGGAAACATTTTTAGCGAAGAAAAAACAAATGCACCTTTCGCTTGACAATGTTTTGAGCAACCACTTGAGTTTTCCCGTGTACGGATTTTTCAAGACACAAATTTTAATTTGGCCATAGCACTGTTGATGGTCATAAAGACCTGTCTTATTATACAGCATCACGTTAAAAGCCTTGAGGCGTCTGCATAACGTGTTGTTTTGGTGGTTGCCAGGAAGAACAATTTTGGAAATCTAACATGTTTAGAAGTTAACCTGTGATTGGTGTATACAGACAGAAAGGCTGTTCTCCATGTCCATACACAGATTTAAATCTTCTAAAGTTTTATTGGGCATGGTATTTTAGTTTTGATGCTTTCAAATGTTCCCGCTCCTAGCAATGTATTATATTGACTTTGATGTTAGGGGAAAAGGTCGAGTTCAGTTTGAATAGTTTACTTCATACATGAATAAAACAACACTTTTGCAATGGCACACGTGCCTTAGGTTTTCTTTTCAGCCGCATTTGAACTTAACTTACGCTCTTAAACCCGCAAATGAGGTAAAGTTTATTTAAAGATGAGGTATGTTTTTCGTGCTTAAGTGTTTCACTCGTAGTTTTCAGCCAACTTGTTAAAAATGAATCACGGGCTGATGGATTTTTCCCTAATATTGTAACAATTGTCCCATTAACAAGATAGAATTCATGCACATGAAGCACAAGTGTGTATCCCAAGAATGGAAACTATAATCTTTGAAATTGATGGAGAACTGTAGAACTTAAAAGGGCATTATAGAATTTATAGTAGCAAGTACGGTTACACAGGCGAATAACCAGGCACTGGATGAGAATCAGATGAACGTAACTAAATTTTTTATACATCTCCTCAACCATTCACCCGACTGTGATGAAATTTACATACATAAAAAACATTTTATCTCCGTACATGTACCAAAAATCTGAGAAATTTATAAACCGCTTTAGAAAAAAACCTTAAGCACGATAAACATAGGTTAAATATTAGTTGAAATTGAGAACATTTTGCACACGTGATACGAGCAAATATTATTGCATTTAGGTCGGGTTTTCGTAGACTCGTGAGAGGGAAACATGGTCTTTTCTTCTGGTATGGAATATTTCGTGGTTACAGTAAGGATGCAGCCGATATTTAGTGTCAAAAGTGTCGATTACACCATGACCTGCCCGCCTGTAGCTGATGCACGCAGGAGCGGACAGTGACCCCCACGTAACCCAGCACGGAGCGGTTCCAACAGCGATTTAATGACTTCCAGATGTTGCTGGGCTGAGAAACTAAGAGGCACGATTACGGCCAGTTTTCGGCGGTGTGTATTAAAATGACAGCAGAAGAGTTAGTTTGGATAATCATCAAGCAATAAGTAAGTCATGCTGAAATCATACAATCAATGAAAAACATCAATTCCAGCGCATGCCTTATTGAAGTTTTGAGTCTGAATAGCCTCGGAAGGTTATAAATAATAAATTATATTCAGACTCGAGTCCGAATAGCCACTTCGAATTGCCATAGCTTGAGGGTCCTTGGAAACTGAAAATTAAGATTTTTTTAACCTTTAACTTCTTTAATCCAATGCTTTTCAGTAAAACCCACGCAGAAGTGTGTTTTTTTATATTAAAAGGTGTTGAACCAAAAATTAAACAAAGTGATTATTTCTCCAAACGCTCGGGAAAAATTATAAACTTCACCTCTATTCTCCGGTGGCTGTAGTTATTCGCACAGGGTGTGTGAATACTGCGAATATTGTGAAATTTTATTCGCACAGGGTGTGTGAATACTGTGTGAATACTAGAAATGTTATTCGCACAGGGTGTGTGAATACTATGAAATTATATTCGCACAGGGTGTGTGAATACTACAAAATATTATTGGCACAGGGCATTTCAAAACAAGGATGGAAATTATCTAGATCTCTAGCATTTTCTCACTTTTCCTTTTTTCATCCTCTTTCGCGTTGGGACAAAGATCATGGGATGGATCAAGAAATCTAGATCTAATTCTAATTGTGCAATGTGATACAACCACGCCC